CAGGGACGTTCAGGGACGTTCAGCCCCCCGGCCCCGTCCTTGTATTCCCGTCACTGGCGGGGGCAGGAAGAGGGCAGCCCCCTCGCCCTGAGCTGGAAAGAATTTTCCTAGGAGCTTGTGGGGAAAGGCCTCCCAGCTCCAGTCAGGCAATTCCCTGATGGGTCAGTGGGGGTGAAAACAATGGCAGGGATGTTACCACCACTCCCTCTCCGGCCCTCCCACATAACCCCACCTTCTGGATCCCGGACTTGGAGCCTGAAGTTGAATTATCCCCTGCCACAAACAGGCTCTTAGATTCTGGCTTCCTGCCTTTTGGGCCGTCTCTGGGCCGGGGATTGCGACCATGGAGCAAAGGACGCAGGTCTCTCGAAAGCGCATGGTCATGCGGGGTGGAGGGGGCTGTCCCTATAGTTCCTTTCCACCCCACAGGTGTCTGGAGGTTTCTAGCCCTGTCAGTGCTGCTAAAACGGGGGCCAGCACTGCATGAACGGGGCCTGCTCCCTCCCTGGGCCTCTTCCTCCGACCCTGAGGGAAAGCCCTGAGCTAAGCGGGTTCAAAACAGGCTCCAACATGGGAAATCAAAGGCGGAAGGAGGCAGCTGCCATGAAGGCTTTGGGAATCGGCCGGAAAAGGCCCCTGGATGGGATGTGTCGCCTCTCTCTTAACCCCAAGCCCCGTCGAACGGGACGGAGCAGTTTCATATGGACTGAGGAGGACGGTTACTCCCCCACTCCAGTACCCACATAAAGACTCAGGAGTGGCACGGCAGGGACCCGTCCCCTCAGGAGAAGCGTTCGGGGGTCAGGCTGTGTGAATACAGATTGGCCAGCGCTCGGCAAAGGGACATCAGGTTTCCATTTCACTCGGCAGAACCGGCCCCAAACAGACCCACGCCCGCTCTGCCGGCCCCTCGGCCTTCCCCTTGTAATGAGCATCGGTCCTCCTTCTACTGACGCCGCGACACGGCCAGCGGGCTGAGGCCTACGCTTCCCGGCCGACCCGCTGGCCACAGAACCGCCCCACGTCTGACTGACAAAATGGCGTCTCGCGGCCGGCGCTGCTAAAAGGCTCTGTAGAGTCCTTGAAAAAGAAGCGCGATTCCGCACCCCGGCCGGGCTCTCGCTTTCGAGCGCGCTGAGCTAGCGGCGCCGGGACACTGTGTTGGGACTGAGGTGCAGGGGAGAGGCATTAGTGAGCCACTGCTTTTGGCGGGGAGGAGGCTGTTTTTTTTTTTTTAAATGTTCATCGGAAAACCAAAGCCTCGTTGTGTTGCTTTTCCTATGGGCTTCGCTCCTTAAAAAGAATCAGCTGGAGGAAAACTATTTGGCCAAACGGGATGTAGCCAGGGCTTGGGGCACAGGAGGGGACCCAGCTCAGCAGAGAATTTCAGCTTTGCTGACTGGCGGGAATGGCCCGACTTTCCCCTTCCGCCAGCCCTCCCCTCCCCAAAAGGGGGGATCCGGAAAGGCCAGCCGAGCAGGGCTGAGAGCGTCCAGGGAAACCGCAGCAGGACGGAGCCTTAGATCCTGCCCCGAGCCCGTGAGATGGCGCTGGACTGATGGCGGCATGGGATGAGCCGTTTGCATGGGCAGGCAAAGTGGTGACAGGATGGTGGAGCGGAATGGAGGAGAGCGCCGGCCCTCACCGCCGGCCGCAAACGCCACGTGGGAAAGTGGCCACGGCCCCTTCTCGGGACGGGCGTGGCTCAGGGCCAGGCCCCCCGCTCCTCCCACATGTGCCAGCCCGGCCTCCCCAGCCCGCTGCCACCTGGGAGGGGTGAAAAGCCAGGACCTAAGCACCCGCTCCCCTGTGGGACTTTAGGGCCGGCTCCCCACCCGCACCCCGGGCCCGGCCGCCCCGCACCG